ATTAAAACGTGACAAAGAAGCTAAGTATCTCTCAAAATAAATGTTCCTTTCCCTCCTTTTTTTTTCCTTTCTTTTTTGAGATAGGGTTTTTGTCACCAAAGTTGGCCTCGAACTTGTTATCTTCCAGCCTCAGTCTTCTGCGTGCTGGGATTGCAAGTGTGAACCACCATGCCTGCCTCTACTTCACCTTTTTGAAAACTACATCTCTCCCTCTCGTTTTAGCCAGCCTTGCTATGTTTCTCAGCCTCATTTGCAGTTGGGTGTGGCCATATGACTAAACTTTTACCAAGGAAGTGCATTTAGAAGGCCTGGGTACACATCACTATAATCCAACACTTGTCCTCTATTTCTATCTCTCGTCTCTGTACCAGGTAAGACCGGAACTTAAATGTGATGGAAATGCACTAGCTGCAGCCATCCAAGGACAGTACCATCTAAAATCAAAACCAGTTTAAGTTAGGCAAACTGTCTTAACAAGTATCCAACAGGTACAATTCATTGTAATGTCATTTATTTAACCTAATGGGTATAATGGTGATTGCAGCATGGAATCAATGTGAAATTATTCATGAGTTTACTCTTTTTCATATTAATTATTCAACAACACTTATAGCACATCTTAATCCAAATTAGCACATTTCAAGCATGTAATAGTCACTCTTGATAGTTGGTTAGTAGCTACCTATTGAACAGCACAGTGCTACAAGATGGCAGAGCAACAAGGTAGAAGGAACTTTGGCTCCTGGGGGACCTTGTGGAACAAGATATCCCATCATGCTGGTGCTCTGGTTTGTTTCCTGTTTTGAATGATGTATTTTGGAATCTCTTTGTAATTAGAATTGACTTGGCCTATAGCATGACTAATGTAACATGCTAAGAGTTTTCTATCCCCCACAGAATTTAACCTTGACCGAGACCCTACATTCTATAGGGCAAATAGACAGTGTGATAGCAAAAAAAAAAAAAAAAAATTCTTGATATTGGCCCATGTTTGTGAACATGCTAGCAATTACAGCCTGTTATTCCAATTGAGAGTTGCTATAACAGCCCAAGTGATCTGTGTATGGTAAAGTGTTCAGGTCTTCAATCTTGAAAAGCTGGAGTTTGACAGCACTTTCATTTTCTTGTATGTTTTGACATTTTTCATTTCCTCAAACTTAAAACAATAAACAATCCCCACACCATTTTTTCTGTTCTGTTTTCTTCCCTCTCCGTTCCCCCCTCCCCTCTCTCTTGCTACACTGGTATTTGAATTCAGGGCCTAATGCTTGGTAGCTGGCACTCTACTGCTTGAGACACACTTCCAACTCTTGCAATTTCTTTCCTTCCTTCCTTCTTTCTTTCTTTCTTTCTTTCTTTCTTTCTTTCTTTCTTTCTTTCTTTCTTTCTTTCTTTCTTTCCTTCCTTCCTTCCTTCCTTCCTTCCTTCCTCCTCCTCCTCCTCTTCTTTCTCCTTCTTCTTCTCTTTCTCCTTCTTCTTCTCCTCCTCCTCCTCCTCCTCCTCCTCCTCCTCCTCCTCCTCCTCCTCCTCCTCCTTAATTCAAACTAAATACTTGCTTAAAAGACTACTATAACCAGGCACTGGTGGCTCATACCTATAATCCTAGCTCCTCAGGAGGCTGAGATCTGAGAATTGCAGTTTGAAGCCAACCCAGACAGGAAAGTCCTAAGATTCTGTCCAACTAACCACCAAAAAAAACCCATACAAACAAAATAAAACAGAAGTGAAACTGTAGCTCAGTGGTAGAGTGCTAGCCTTGAGAAAGAAAAAAAAAAGCATAGGAACAGTATCCAGGCCCTGAGTTCAAGCCTCAGAGCCAGAAAACACAAAAAAGGAGAGAACAATTGTTGAACCAAAGAGGTAGAAGTGACAAATTCATTATGTCAGCAGTACTCCTTTGTTAAGTATTATGTAAGAAATAATTTATTTAAAACAGCTTTGGATTCTCAGATCCTACATATGTTCTGTTCTATTATATAGTTTTACGAGCACAGTCATATAACATCTGCATGTACCAATAATCAAATCAGTCTTTTCCCATATCCAATTTGTTTCTGTTTCCCCACAAACAAAAGGAAATGGCTAAAAACTGACAAGGTTCTTTATGTTTCTAAATCAATCCTCTGTTTTATGGAGAAATGCAATCCCGAAGCCTATAAAAAAAAAAAGCAAATGTAAATAAGGATCCATCATTTTATTACTTTCTATCTTGTGAGATGTCAGTTATTGTCTTGATTTGTTGATCCTATTTTCCCTCAAGGAATCTTACCATTCAGAAGGCTGAGGCTAGCTGAATGGATTCATTCTACTCTCAACTCAGTTCATTCAGTTGGCACAGAAGACTAGTTAAGAGTCTAGGATTTAGAACTGGGGGTGTGGCACAAGCAGTAGAGCACTGGCCTAAATTTAAGATTCTGAGTTCAATATCCAATAGTATACACGCGTGCACATGCGCACACACACATACACACACACACAAAGGATGTTATCATGTTATCATGGATCTGATTCCACTGATTATTAGCAGTGTGACCATGGATAAGGAACTAGACCTTTCTAAGGCTTGGTCTTCTCATCTGTAAAGTAAGAATTATAATAAACTGCCTTAAAATACTACAAGCAATGTGGGAGATGAGTAGGAAGAACTTAATATAATGTCTTACCCAGTAATTTGTTGAGGAAATTTTCCTATTTCCAAACTACTCATCTTAAAACATTGTACCTATTATATGACAATTTCTTTTGACTTGGATTTTTAATTCTTACAGAAATACTAGGAGTAAAAAAAAAGTCACAATGGCTCACAGAGGTGAAGTGGCTTGCTGATGTCACAGTAAATGTGAGACCAGACAAAACTTAAAACTGCCTCATCCACCATTAAATCCTATGCTTTTCTCCACCAAGTTGTGCCTAGTTCTACAGGCAGTGTGTGCCTCAGAGAGGGACAAAGAAGAGAAAGCAAAGCCTCTTTGGAGGTCTCCAAACCTCCCTGTTCAGAATAAATCCCCCAATTATGCTTGAAGTTGGATCAGCTTTTGAAATCTCCACTGCACATTCTTTTCCCATCAAGTTCCTTGAAATTTCTTTTTAAAGAGCATCTAGGAAAAGCCACTCTTATTACTTAGAGTCTGTCTTTATTTTCCTAATAAACAGACCTTTGGTCAGACAAAATAGCCTCTTTTATTTTCAATCAATTCTTGAATATTTCAGCTGATTTTCGTCTATGTGGCTTGAAATTGTGATCTGGGAAAGGCTGATCCTGCACATTGTCTTCCTATAAGGGAAGCCCCTTGAGGATCCTCAACTTGTTATTTTTAATCACTGTAATCTCCTTTCAAAGGAGTTCCTGGTTAGAAACAGAGCAGGCCTTTCAGGGGCTTTCTAAAGCACAATTATTGAGGGATGGGGGGGGGGGTAGAAGCAGTGGAAGAGAGAGAAGAGGAAGTCAATATAGCACTAACAACTTGAAAAAAACTGCATAATAATCTCAACTAAACTCAGGCTGCAAGGAAGAAGCCCCAGGATTCAATGTTTTAAAACTAGTGATCATCTTATTCCAGCCTAAACTGGACTAGGCTTTTATTCCAAAAAGCCTATCCTCTGATTGAGGGCCATGGAAAGAAGAAGCTATTTGGAGATTAAACTGGAAGACAGAGGACAGAAATTCAAGGCAGGAAAAGAAATCATTGATCTCAAGGACTCTGAAGGATCCTAACTGGAGTAGGGGGCGAGGGAGGGGTGGGGGGGAGAGGGGGAAGGACCAGGGGAAAGATAACTTCTACAATCCTAAATCAATGCACCCAGAATAATGCATCAGATTTACATTTAACATAATTATCCTAACAAAGTATCAGCCAATAGAAAATATCTCAAGTTAGGCCAGTGCCCTTTCTTCCTAACTTCCACTGTTGTTAGTCACACAATGTTTGCTCAGGAGGCCTTAGCATGGTTCCTGTGAGATCTTTCTTTCCAGGTCCCCTTGCCCTAAGAAAGGAGAAAAGATGATAATCCCACCTACAGCCTGAGTGGTGTTAAAGTCCAAAAGCCTGAAGCTTTAGGCTGGGGAATTCCGGGCCCTGCTCTTCTATTGCCTAGCTTATTCTGCTTGGCCTGGGCTTTTAGGGAGTTCTGAGATTTCTCTGGCCAGGTGATTAGGGAATATGTATCCAACCAGTCCTGCCACCACAGTTCCCAGTGGTCAGCCCAACAAGAGGATTAGTGTGGGAAGAGATGCCAAGAAGACACTTGGCCAGAGCTCCAGACTAGCCTAAACTACCAAAAAAAAAAATAAAAATAAAAATCTTTCTGGGTTAAATTAGTTGTTTTAGACAAGACTTCTAATGCAGAAAACACCATTCATTCATTCATTCAATCAATCATTCATTCAACGAATTGGTGAGGACCCGACGAACAAAGTCAGTCATTGGTAAATGGGACTGGAGGAATGGTAAAGAAACCTACTTTTTAAAGAAACCTACTTTTAAATATGGGATATACATGCGCGCGCACGCGCGCACGCGCACACACACACTACACACACACACTACATACACTACACACACACTACACACACTACACACACACTACACACACTACACACACACACTACACACACACACTACACACACACTACACACACACTACACACACTACACACACTACACACACACACTACACACACACACACACACACACCACTTGGATCAGGTATATACCACCTATCCTACCTGCTGTCCCTCAGGCACACTCATCTTTGCCACCCAGAGGAGTTGGATAAAACAGCTCCTTTTACAGCTGGGAACTAGGTTCAGAGAAATTAAATGGCTTGCACAAGGCCCCTAAAAGGAACTCCTTTTTAGTTTGGAGTCATCTCTTCTGCTTTAAAGAGTGGGATTGGCTTCCTCCGTGATCTCAGAACCTCTGTTCTCGGGAGAACTGAAGAAGTCCAAGAGTTTACTACACTCAGTTCCCTGAGATCCACGCCACCCACCTTGGCGACGTGAAGGTCTTCCCCAGCCTGCTCGACAAACAACCTGACGCCAGCAGCGACAAACCGCGCGCTCCCTCCAGACCCGGTGCGTTCTCCCCCAGCATCTTCCATGGTGGGGTGCCCAGGAGCCCCTGGATGTACCCGTCCCAAGGTGGTTCCTGCCCACGTGTTGAGGACGCTAGCGCGTGCAGGGCGCCCGTAGTGAGCCCGGGTCGCTCCAGGTGAAGTTAAGCCAGGTACGCGAACCCAAGAAAACCAAGTGTTTCTGGCTCCTGGTGCCAGTCCTGCGCGGGGCGGGCTCCAGCTGACACTGCCCAAACTTTCTGGGGGGCGTTGCTCCCGCGATTCTGTAGGGAACCAGGAGGGCAGGTGGCGGGGGCCAGGCTCCCATTTGCCATCCAGCCCCGGCCCTGCCCCAGGTGAGATCAAGCTGGTCTCCCTCCCCATCTTTAATCCCAACGTCCGGCTCGGAGAACGGCGGCGGCGGCTCGGGAATAGACGTCTGGGACAACCTGGATGAGCAGGGCCTTTAGGGATGGCCTCAGAGGTCTTAAGATCGAGGCCCAGGGAGGGGCTCACCGGCTTGGATAGCCCCTCCTGGCACTCCCGAAACCTGGCTCGCAGAGGAGTCGCGTAAACACGACGAAACATCCCCGGGGCGCGGGCTGCCGGAAGTCCCACAGCCATCAGAGTAGGCCTCTGAAACCGGGGGTCCCCCTTCTGTTCTCATCGGAATCTCCCTCCCGTTGGGAGCCTAGCCGGGATTCTGGGGGGTGACTCCATTCCTACTGGAACCTCTCCCGGAAATCCAAGGTCCCGTTCCTAGCCTCGGACCACAGGAGACTTAATTTGGGGGAATCTTTCCAAAGACCCTTCAGAGAAGAGCGCCTGGTTCTTTCTTCCCTGAGACCCAGGATGGCCTGGGGGGAGACACTGAAGTCCCTTCCCCGTGAAGCGACCCGGGCACGCCGGGGTGACTGTCCCGCTCAGAGCCAGTTGGTGAGAATCTGGTCTCTCCGCTTCACTGATGCAAGTGCGGAGAGCTGCCCTGCCCTGCCTTGGGACACCCAACCTGAGAAAAGCCAGGGTTCCACCCTCCCCCGCGCCCCCAGCCCCAGAGAACCGCCCGGAGCAAAGCGGGACCACTCCCCTCCCGCCCGCCGAGGCCGGAGTTCCGCGGGGTTCCCTCGCAGTCAGGCAGGTGAGCGTGCCGGCGCTACAACCCCAGCCTGGGGAGCCGCGCGCCCGACCTCCGCGGTCCCCGCGACGGCCCAGGACGCTGGCCAGAGATCTCCGCACACAGCTGGCTGCCAAGAGGGCTGAGGACAGCCTGGACGGAAGGAAGGGTCCTGGCGGGGCTTCGCCAACCCCGTGCGCTCGGGGGACTGTGCGCGCCCCTCTAGTGCCATTGGGTTCGGGGCCCACTGGAGGCTAAGTCCGGCACTCCCCCCACGCCATCCGAGGCTACTTACCGCGGTAGCTGCTCCCCGGCTTGTAGAAGTCGGGGTCGCCTTCCACGCGGAGGCTGAACTCCGTGTAGCCCTCACGCCGCGTGCCCTGGGCGCGCAGGATGCGGCTGCAGTAGCCCTCTGACTTGGCCACTTTGTCCAGGGTCTCGTCGAAGGCCAGTGCCGTGGCGAGGGGTAGCGCCAGGGCCAGCAGTGCCAGACTCCGGCTTAGCTTCTGGGGCGTTGGGGACAGCCTCATCATCGCAGGGGGTGGAGGGGTGAGGGACCCCCAACTTTGTGCTGCTGTCGCTGATCCTCGCCGAGCGACTCCTGCCTGAAGGGGGTCCCGGCTGGCGGTAGGCGAGACCCGGAGAAGCTCCAAGCCGCGGGCTGGTGGCACCGAGACCTGCCCGGCTCCGTTTGGCGGCGGCTGCCGAGCTGCGCTGCGTGGAGCAGAGCCCAGCCCGCCAGCCGAGCGAGGAGCGAGCGAGCGGCGCAAAGGAGGGGAGGGCGGCGGCGAAGGAGCAGGAGGAGGGAGGGCTGATTTTTTTGCCCAGATCCCCAGGCGCAGCGCCGTTTTGTTTCGAGCCGGGCGATTAGCGGAGCGGTGCTGTTTATTTTGCGACACTGGATTCCCAGGGTCTGCTGGTGGAGATCATAGGATGCCGGGACCCTGGGAAGGGAGGGGGCCGGGGGGAAGCTCTGTCCCACTACCCAGGGAGGCTGCTTCCCCTGACCCCCGGCTTACACCCTGAGCCCTGAGGAAAAGCCTAGGAACTAACTTTGACGCGCACCTACTCTCAGTGTAGCCAAGCTAGGCGGTCTACTGGCAGCCCAAGTTCATGGTGGTCATTCTTTTTTGTGGTTGGTGGTGGTCGTGGGGCTTGAACTCTGGGCCTGGGCGCTGTCCCTGCGCTCTTCAGCTCAAGGCGAGTGCTTTACTGTTGGGACCACAGCGCCACTTTGGGTTTCCTTGTGGTTTATTGGAGATGAGTCTCAGGGAGTTTCCCTGCCTGGGCTGGCTTTGAACCGTGATCCTCAGATCTCAGCCTCCTGAGTAGCTAGGATTACAGGTGTGCGCCACCGGCGCCGGGCTATGGTGGTCATTGTCACTGCACACAATAAACATTAGATGACTTTCACTCATTTTATAGGCGAGCAGACAGCAGCAGATGCGCTGACCTCGCGGGCTCCTGTGCCCTTCCCGTGGCCACATTGGACCAGCTTGGACCAGAGAGGTGAGGATGGAGACCAAGGACTTATCTGGGTCCAGCAGGCATACTGCCCGGGGCCACAGTGTTTTTGGAGATCTATGAAAATGTTTTCTTTAAAAGCAGAAGGGACAAAAATAACGTTTCGATTACTGAAAACGTTTTGCTATACAACGTTAATATATTCCTCTTTATACCCACACAGCTATAAAATATGGTTTTAATATTGCTTTAGGAAGACAGGAGCCCACAAAGAAAGAAAAAAGACTGCCTACAACCCACGAAGGTCCTCATATGGCCCTGGAAAGGCGTTTCTAAAGAATCCAAGAAGAGTCTGTGTTCTCTGGGCTTAGATTTTAGTTCAGGTTCACAGATCCCAGACACTGCTTTGGGGAGAGGTGCTAAGCCTAGGGACTCTCTGGGCAGGGACACCAGCCAGAGGGCCAGAGGGGAGAAGGCCCAGGGCTGGGTGTTCTCACTGTTTCTCAGCAGGAGAGACATGAATGGCGCCTTGCCTGTCCTGCCACTCACCCATTGTGAGACTGGGCTGGACAATGTCTCCCAGCTTATTTCCTGCTCTCAAAGGGGTGGGGGGAGTAGAAGCTACCAGATCCTTCCTGGAGTTGTGCTAGAATTCAATATAATGTCTCATATAAAGCACTTGATCTGGTCATCCGTATTTCCCAGCCTTGGAAACACGTTTAGCCCCCTGTCTCCCTTGAATATATATAAATTTGACACCTCCTCTCCGCTTTACCTGCTTTTAGAACTTTGGCTTCCCCCCTACTCTTTCCCCCAGGGCCTTCCATTCACAGTAAGGGCCTCCCTTTAACAATCCCTCTCCAGTACCCCCACCCACACACAATGCACTTTCCAGGTCAATTTTTCCTTTTTTGTTTCTTGCCCATCAGTACCAACAACCTGAAGGAGATGTCACATTAGCGGTCTACATTCCCCCCTCCTGCCCACTGCTGACTCCTTAGTTCTTGTGCTGTGATTCATTCTGTAGCACCCTCTTCCAAAGGTCACCTGAGAATAAGCCCCCTCTGTAGCCAGTTATAACTGAATCCCAAGAACTGACCCTTAGCAGCACCAGATCCGCTGACCAGCTCTTCTCCTTCACTCAACTGGCTTAGGGCTCATACCTGACTGCATGTTTCAAGGTTCCATTCATCCAACAAGCTTTCACTGCATGGAGATTTGAAACCAGGCTCTGTGCTGAGTGGTGGGACAAGAAAGGAACAAAAGCTCATTCACTCATCATCCTTCCATTCGTCCATCTACCCTCCCACCCATGTCTAAGGCTTCAGACATGGCTGCTCAGTATTAGGGTACAGACAGACATGTTACTTGCTTCTGTGGATCTTATAGTCTTGTGGCAAAGGCAAATATTAATTACATGATTATGAATTTTTTAGATCGCAATTATGATTTTATGCTACAAACTAAAATGAGTGGTTCAAGAGAGTGTACTTGGTGGTATCTCGTGGGGGAGGGAATTACCAAGGTGAATAAAATATACCTCTTTCTTCATAGCGGATTGTTGTATGTCCAACTTGCCAAATATGTGCCTTTGAACATCTTTTCATTTACATCAACATGTCCAAATTTAAGTTGGAGGTGGGCGGACATGGAACAGGCACGAACAGAATATTTAATGTTTTTATTGGACATGGATAGGAAAATCATCTAGGGAATGGACTATGCTGGTATGGAACAGGGAGTGGCCTTGAACTTATTTCTTTGTCTTTTTTTTTTTTTTTAATTTTTGAAACAAGAGCTTACTACATGTTCCAAGCTGGCCTGGAATTTTCTGTGTGACCCAGCTGTCCTCAAATTTGCAGTCCTTCTACCTAGCTCCTGAGAGTTTGGATTACAGGATTAAATAAATGCTGGCCAAGAACCTGCATTTACCCAGCTTGGTCATTCATTACTTTGGTTGGTTCCATCATCTGGGCTGTGACAGCAGGTTCCAATCAGCTTACTGAGTTCCAACCCTGCTACATGAACTAGATTTTCCTAACCCAGTTCGGCTGTCACTTTCGACCTCCGCTCTCTCCTCCACACATCCAATCCATCACCAACATCAGCAGCCTCACCTCCAACTACCTCTGCGAGAATCTGTCTGTTTCTCTCCCCCTTCTTCTGCCACTTACCCAAGCCAAGTTGTCTTCCTCTCTCAGCATGCTAACTGATCTTCCCCTGTCTTGTCTGCCAACCTGTCCTTGGCCCTGAAGCTCAAGTGATCTCTCTTAAAATGCAGATTTGAATGTCAATCCTGGGGTTGAAATCCTGAGCAGTGAATTTCAAGGTTCTTAGAATAAAGACAGATTTTTTAAGACAGCCCTCAAGGCCCTCCGTGCTTCATCTGCCTCTCAATCCAGAATCTCTTCTTCCATGGGCTCTGGCCAGTTTTAGACACTTTTGCCTATGATTTCCCCCTTACTGGATCCTTGCAAATGCTCTCTACTATCTCCTCGCTGCCACTCTCTGATGGCCAACGGCTATGCACCTATGCACCGGCACCCTTTCAATCTCAGGAAAAAGCCACTGCCTCAGAAAAGCCCTTCCTGATTTCCTGGTGATCTCCTGAACCTAGCACTTTTTAACGGATTCAAGCTGTTAAATACTTACATATTCATGTTTTTTTGTTGTTGTTGTCTTTGTTTGTGGGGTCCACATCAACATGGCATGTGTATTCTGAGCACCATGTATGCAGTATGCTGCTGGAGTCCGCGGGGCAGTGTCTATCCACCCAGGGACTGTGGCGCCATGTCTAAGTTGCCAGGGTCTGTGGTGCCACAACAACATGGCCAGGGTCTGTGGGACTGTGTCTGTGTGTCATGCTTGATTTTCGAATTATGTATTTATTCACTGCCTATCTCAATCACTAAATTCTAAGCTCCATAAGGGCAAGAATACTATGAGGCTGACCAGTATATCCTAGTCCCTGGCTCATAGTTGAAAAATCTATTATAGATAGGTAGATAGATAGATAGACAGACAGACAGACAGACAGACAGACATAGACATAAGAGTCAGCAATAGGGCTTGAACTCAGGGTCTGGATTCTGTCTGTGAGCTTTTTTGCTCAAGGGAGTGCTCTACCACTTTGAGCCACAGTACCACTTCTGGTTTTCTGGTGGTTAATTGGAGATAAGTCTCGAAGACTTCTGACTGGCTTTGAACCTCAATCCTCAGATCTCAGCCTCCTGAGTAGGCAGGATTATAGGTGTGAGCCACCAGCGCCCAGCAAGCTCTATAAATATCTGTTCCTGCAAGCTGGGTGTATGGCTGTGGCCTGTAATCCCAGCTACGCAGGAAGTGTAAGATAGGAAGCCAGCCCAGACAAAGATGGTGAGGTCCTACCTGAAAAATAACTAAAGCAACAAGGCGTGGGAGGCATGGGTCAAGCAGTAGAGTAGAATACAAAAACCTTTAACAACCCCATCCCTGGTGCTCGCTAGCTCAGCCCACGTTTCAAGTTAGCTTTTAAAGCCTTGATATAGTCTGTTTTTATCCATTTCATCTGGACACCAGGACTGCCCTGCTAGGTTCCAGTATCCTCTCTTTCCCTGTTGTCTCTGCACGTTGGCTTAGCGGCACCAGCCTAGAGTCTTCTCAAGCCTCCTCCTGTTGCAACTCTCCTCTCTGGACTGAGGTCCTGCAGTCTCTGCCCCTCCAGACTTAAGAAAACTCACAAGAAAGAAGTCTCTTATTTTGATTATTGTCTTCTACTGGATTGTCATGTGTCTCTGTCTCATCTCCTAGTAATGAATCCAGCTTATTTTTTTATTTAATTTCCTGTTCAGATGTTTTGTTCTGTCGTAAAATATACTGGACTTCAAGAAATCTCTTTCCAGTTTGGTAGCCTACGGCAGAGCTGATGTTAGTTGCTAGGGTGTTGCTAGGGAAAGTCATTTAGCCTGGGCAGATAATTAACTTTATCAGTGTGTGGGGGTAGGTCACTGAGAAGAGCTGGGGGCTCCACTACTTCAAGAAAAAAATTCCTTCGATCTGCTTCTTGCTTTCTCTTTCTTTCTTTCTTTCTTCCTTCCTTCCTTCCTTCTTTCTTTCCTTTCTCTCCCCTTCCTTCCTTTTCTTTCCTCTCTCCCTCCTCTCTCTCTCTCCCTCCTTTCTTCTTTTTCCTTGAGAAAAAAAAACATTTTTCTAGAGTAATGTTCTTCTAAGTGTAAGTCATTAAAAATGAGTGTCAGACATCTGCCGCAAATGCAGATGCCAAAACCCTACCCCAGCCCCACTGAATCCGCACTTTGAACAAACTCATGTGATGTTCAAGAAACTCCACTATCCTGGCTCCATCTAGCTCACCCATGCTAAGCTGCGTGAAGTTGGGAGGGTCCTGAGAATTCCAGCCTAGGTCTAAATTGCTTATGCAAAAAACTGGAATGTGCAGTACCTATCTTCTCCACCTCCCAGGAGTTTGAGAAATGAATAAATGAGTAACTAACATCACTTTATACATTTCAAAGTATTCATTAAAAAGTTCTTATTGTTATTATTCTTGTACTTATTTGTAATAAGATTAAAAAAAATGCTCCATCTTCCTTTCCTAACTCATAGGATTTAATTGATAAGTTTTGTAAGAAGAGATTTCAAGAAAAAAGAAAGCAGCCTGGCAATGAAGTTGGATTGTTCAGCAACCTATTGTTTTCTGTCATGAGGAAAAGTTCCGAACATGTGTGCAAGTGAGTTAGCAAATTCTGAGATGAAGTTATGGGTGATAAGTATATAATAAAAATCCTTAAACATATTAATTAACTCAGAAGCTATTTCTTAAGCACTAGCTATGTTCCAGGCATTGGTCACTGCTCATTACCTTCGCAATTCTGAAGCTGATTGAGTCCATCCCACAATTTTACCCACAGTATGAGTTCCTCTGGCCACCTACTCTCTCAAGTCCCTAGTCCTCCAATTTTTTCCTTTTCTCTGATCTCTGGATCATAGTTCTAACCTGTTTCCCATTGCCAGATTCAGATTGGGATTATAGAACATCATTTTCAAGGCAGAGTCCCTCTGCCCTTAAAACTCTCATCTCATTTATACTCCTTCATCTTCTCTGGTCACCTACAGCCTCTAGGTCATGCACCTGCAGCCAGGGTGAACTCTACAGCTTGCTGCTCAATGCTCTGCTATAGGTCCAAGAGACTAGCAGGAGACTAGCAAGTCTAAACTGATAATTTAGCTATAGCTCTACCTCCTACATGACAAATAACTTGGCTTCTCTCCGTATCTTCAGCCTCTCCCTTCAGTCCCCTTGATCTTGGAATCTGGAGCTGCCCACAGCAATCTCATCCATTTCCTCACCATTTCCTTGCTTTGACTCTTCCCTGTGATGAAGCCTATAACTTTAATCACTTTGGATTTTCCCACCCATCCTGTCAGTTCCTTCCGTATCTGGTCTGAATACCCTGCTCACCTATTTTTAACCTTATCTTCAGCAAGACTCTCACTCTTTAATGTGTGTGCATTCTCTCTTATTAACCCCTAACCTAGATCAACTAAGCAAAGCAATGGGAATATTCCAGATTTCTGTGAGTTCTGCTACTTGAAACCCAATAACCTTGCCAATTGCTCTGGTACAAACTCTTGAATACTATGTTTAACTCTACTTCTTTTGTTGTTGTTGTTGTTTTTGGGTCCGGTCGTGGGGCCTGAACTCTGGGCCTGGGTGCTGTCCCTCAGCTCTTCAGCTCAAGGCTAGCGCTCTACCACTTGAGCCACAGCACCACTTCTGGCTTTTTTCTTTTTGCTTATGTGGTGCTGAGGAATTGAACCCAGAGCCTCAGGCATGCAAGGCAAGCACTCTACCACTGAGCCACCTTCCCAGCCCTTAACTCTACTTCTTAAAGCTATTCCTAGTCACTTTCCTTTTCCATCCTTGTTGGTGGTTTACATCTTTCTTCTAGTTCCTACCATTTTTTCAAGCTGGATCACGCTTGTGCATTCTTTGAGAAGTAACTCCCTCTCCTATTTCATCCCTCAAGTAGAAAACATTAGATGTTAGTTCTCTCAAATCTCTACATCTCCTGCTTTCTGTGAGCACTCATCTAGCTATTAGCCTCTTTCCATCTCTTATCTTTTTGTTTCCCTTCCTTGTCCATGTTCTTGGCTGGCACACAGATTAAGCCTCTCATGTCTAGAAGGAGAGCTTGAGATGATGCTAGACCTGATACTGAACTTATGACTAGTCCTGTTTTCCTCCTCCTATACCCTCCATGCTATCACTTACTTCTCAGTTTCTGCTCATTTTCCATGTAGTATCATTTGGAATCAGCATGGGTCGTTTTATTGAAACTGCTCTGAGCGAAGTCACCTAAGACCTTCTACTTCCCACACCAGTTGTCTGAATTAAAACAGACACAAGCTATAAGTAAGGTGCCTATCACTCACCCCTTGCAGCTCACCCCTTGCAGAAGTTAAAGGGCAGCACCAGGGAAGGCCTTCCAAAGCTTCAGCCTGAAGATCCCTTAGTCCCTCTGCTTTGGGTTTATGCAGTAGAGCATGCCCTGTGCCCAGATGCAACAAAGCTTTCCAGGTACAGCTGTGGGCAGCTCCCAAGACTGCAGATCCAATCATCCAGCCAGCCCAGGCACAACCCACATTCCCATGCGTCTCTTGCTGTGAATCTAGCAAGCTAACTCATGCTGAGCTATAATTTTTGTAAGGAAAAATTTTATCTTAAATATTTTATAATTTTACACTTACACAAAGGAAGAGCGAATGGAATAACGGACCTCCTCATTAGCATATATTTTAAATTATTACCTTTAAATAAGCTATACACAAATTTCTATTTGGCACATCACTTTATGAGTGCAATGCATCTTGACCAGTGTTACTCCTCCTAACCATTCTCCCATCTATCTCAACTCTACCCATCCCAGGTTACCTACTTACATTTCCACATATGTACATTGAATGTTATGACAATATTTGTCCCAGAATTCCTCTTTCCATTCATCTGCCCTCAATCTCTAAGCCCCATTCCACTCAGACATGTTTCAGCTTCTTGATATTCATTTTGTTAAACTGTTAATTGTTCAGTCAGGCTCAGAGAGAGCCACCTTTTTGAAGTTATGATAGCTTCATGGCTTGGACCACATGACCATGGCACACTACTGCCACCTGGTGACAGAGATATGAATGTGCAGCAGAATTACGTAAGGAGTGTAGCACTCAGGACTCGGGTCACCTCCCTGGGTCTGTTTTAGAAGTTTTGATTGTTTGCCCTTTGAGAATAGTCATTGAGTTTTCTTACTATATTTAAAATAATGTCTTTGCATAAAGTGCTCAGTGTATTTATGTGAAATTTAGTCTTTGATCCATTCATCAAATATGTATTAAGATATAATTTCTTCCTTCAAGAAACTGCAGGATGCTGGGAATGTGGCTTAGTGGTAGAGTGCTTGCCTAGCATGCATGAAGCCTTGAGTTCAATTCCTCAGTACCACATAAACAGAAAAAGGCTGGAAGTGGTGCTGTGGCTCAAGTGGTAGAGTACTAGCCTTGAGCACTCAGGGACAGTGCTCAGGCCCTGAATTCAAGCCCTAGAACTGGCAAAGAGAGAGAGAGAAAGAGAGAGAAAGAAAAAGTAAGAAAGGACAAAAGAAAGAAAGAAAAAAGGAAGGAAGGAAGGAAGGAAGGAAAGAAGGAAGGAAGGAAGAAAAAACGGCAGAAAGAACAGAGGAGGAGACATGTACTTGAGTTCTTGCAGCTTGAAGAAAGGAAAAGATGAAAAGGAAGAGGTAGATGAGGGTAAAGCAGACATGATGAAAAGAGCTGGAAATGAGAAAGAAGACAGAAATGGCCAGAAAGAGCATCTAATGACAAAGGAACACCTAAGAGTCAATAAGAAAGAGCAGAGAGCACGAAGCTCCTATCCTCCAATTATCTTAATGAGGAGTCCATGTACTACAATAAAAGGCAGGGTTGTCTTCCAATTAACTGTGGCCTAAGTTTTCATCCAATCTAGAAATACAATTGCTTGCTCAGGTCTCAGGTTTACCAATTGGATGTGGCTTCATTTCTGTCCTCTAGGAGAGAGTGAGGGAAAGGGAAACATTGTCCAAAAAGAAATGTACTCATTACCTGTGGCTGGGAATGTGGCTTAGTGGTAGAGTGTTTGCCTTGTAGGCATGAAGAAGCCCTGGGTTCAATTCCTCAGTACCACATAAACAGAAAAGTCTGGAAATGGTGCTATGGTTCAAGTGGTAAAGTGCTGGGCTTAAGCAAAAGAAGCTCAGGAACAATGCCCAGGCCCTGAGTTCAAGCCCTAGGACTGGGAAAAAAAAAAAGAAGAGACTGTAAAAAAAAAACAAAATACCCCAAACCCTTTAGTCATTTTCTGGCTTGCATTACTACACATCACCTTTAAATAAATAAATAAAATGCCCTCCAACTGTTAACTTCAAAGGTATAGATAGCTAAAGTAGCTGAGGGGGAGGGAGATTCTAGAGGGTTAAGAAGATGTGCCTGCTGGGTGACGGTGGCTCACGCCTGTAATCCTAGCTACTCAGGAGGCTGAGATCTGAGGATTACAGTTCAAAGCCAGCCTGGTCAGGAAAGTCTGTGAGACTCTTATCTCCAATAAACCACTAGAAAACCGGAAGTGGTGCTGTGGCACAAACTGTAGTATTCAGAGGTTAGATGACTTATTTTCCCCAAAGTCACAATCTATTTGAACACTTATACAGATCAAGAGACACCTCCCTGCCAATTAAGGCCCAAGACAAATGGCCTCTGCTCTCTTCCTTGTGTCCCTGCAGGCTAAAGTGGTTTGAATGTTTTAGAAAGGTATTAGGACTTGATGGATCAGTAGGATTAAAAGAGAAGAAAGGAAAAGGTGTCCTTCATAATGCAGACTGTAGCACAAAGGATGAAGGACAAATGGATACCCCTCCCCCCTCCTTCCAAGTGTGTAGCAGCAAGTCTATGTCCAAAAATTACATGGAAGCTGTTGTAAATGGCGATGAGTCTCTGGCATCAGGGTTCCCCTCAAAATGTTCATAAAAAAATACTGTACAGAGGGGTTACAGTTATATGAATAAGGTAATGAGTACATTTCCTATGGAGCATTGTCACCTCCTCCTTTGTTTTTCTCCTACCATCCCTTCCCTCTCCACCTCTGCAACTCCTCCCTCCCTGCCTCCCCCCAAGTTGTAAAGTTGGTTTTCAACACAGTGTCTTGTACATCTCATTGTTACAATGGATCAACCTGCATCCTTATTTCAGCAGGGCATTGAAATCAAATACAAGGAAAACAGGGGTTATATCATGGGGGAAGAACATAAGAAAAAAACAAAAAAAATCACATAGTACATTATAAATATATTAAAAACAATAGCAAGAAAGATAAAACCACTTGTGTCCCTATCTTGGGGTTCATTTCGCTTAGCATCATCTTATATGGTCATATGTACATAGCTTTTGACCTTTTCTGCTTGTCCTAGACATATATTAGTTATTGCAAATAAGGGAAACCATGGAACCTGTTTCTTTGGGCCTGGCTTACTTCACTTAATATAATTTTTTCCAAGTCTTTCCATTCCCTAACAAATGGGGTGGTGTCAGTCTTTGTGATGGAGGCATAGAATTCCATTGTGTGTGTGTGTGTGTGTGTGTGTGTGTGTGTGTGTGTGTGTATCACA